TTATGGAGGAAGGAAGGAGAACTACATTTTTCGCTATTGCGCATAGTGGATGGCGTTAGCTGATCCGAATACGGCACGAATCGTAAACGATGCGTGGCATGGGAGGTGGAGGGAGGCTTGGTGAGGATGAGAGTGTTAGATGCTATAAGAAGCACTCGGTGAGCGAAAACAGAAGAAGCCGGTTCTTTAGTGTCATATTTCGAAACAAACGGAAAACTGTGAAGGAAATCGAGTCTTCCCTGTCCAATTTCTAGAGACAGCAAGTAGTCAAAGATCTAACTCCTACCACAAACAAGCACAGTTAGCAGTTTTCACTCCAGATTAATCATGTCTTCTGGACTTCTCTGACAATATCTTTACGATGTAAATGGTAGTTTCTTTACCTTAGTGATACCTAGTACCTTCACCAGGTAAGTTCAAACTCAGGCATAAAAAGCTTCACAAAGTTTTAACAACTTTTCATCTAGAACTTGTTAACAGACGACGTGTAAAACAAAATCGCACTCTAGAGAGAAAACCACGTTCCTAATGAAACGACTATTTTTACTATTGTGTAAAAGAAACAAATAAGATTTCTAACACATCCCCAAATTTTTCAAGACTAGTCAATTCTTTAAAGTCAAACGTCCTAGAAAAAGTAATGAATAAAAAAAAGATAAAGCTCTCGACGTTGATCAATCCCTTAGGGATGCGCCAAGCATTCGACTTCATTAGGCACCGTTGGAGGTGATTGGGTGCATATCTGACTCGCAGTGGGCTACCAATGTATCGAGTCAGTGCTGCTATCCTCCCAGACAGGTCTGGTACCAATATGCCCACCCTTGAAGGATGAAAGTGTTAGTGAGCCAGGTGCGCAGGAATCGATCCCATGTGTTTTGCAGGGCCCCTCCGACCACTCCGTCACACGCGTCCATAAGTAATTAATAAAATAGCAAATTTAATAGAGTGTAGTGAAGGAAGTGCAATAAATATGTAGAAAACAGAAATATAAAAAAACAAATAAAAATGAAGTGTAATAAAAGAAATATAAATCCTAGGAATCTAAAAGAACCGTTGGAAACGAATCGGTCAGATAAGAACGATATTGGAGTGGAAGCGTTTGAATAAATAGGAGTTAAGCGAAAAATGAAACGAAATGATGGAGTTCTTCGATGGATTTTGGAGTATAGGGATACGGCAAATTGATGACATCGAAATCGTCGCGCTTTTAAACACCAATCTCCAACCCCTATCGGTAGAGACGGAAAAGTCAGAAGCCAGAGTTCACACAGCTCAGATCAAGCTTGACGAAAAACGGATTTTAAAATAAAAGTAGACTTTCAACGCTTACTGGAGTAGATAAAAGGTTTGCGATTATAAATGGAATGGTCAGAAGATTTTGACGCATTAATGAGCTTTCGTTTTTCCGTCAGTGAAAAAGAAACAACGATAACAAAAGCAACAAAACGCTAACTGATGAGAAGTTTCCCAGTTAATCGTCTTAAAATTGAAAACGGGATTCGAGACTCGCGGGGGCCTATCGATGTATCGAGTCAATGCTGCTATCCTCCCAGACAAGTTTGATAACAATTCACCGACCCCAGAGGGATGGAAGGCTTGGTGGGCCATGGGCGCGGGGATCGATTCCACGTGTGTGTTACAGGGCGCCCGCCTCCAGCCACTGCGCCACGCGCGCCCTTCTAACGGGCTATAGTTTACAAAATCTTAATAGGAAATACCGAACGAATCACTTGATACTTACTTGATACTTAAATGACCCGTCCTCACTGGTTTTGCGGGCTCCAGCATAATCTCCATTTTTATTGGAGGTTTCATGATTAAGCCATCGTCCCGAATCCTGATGTTAGCCTGGACAAAGTCTGCCCCAGGTTTTCATCACCACAGGCAGTCGCAGCCCTTGTGGATTAGAGGGAGATAGGGAGATTTGCTATCATGCGACTATGATACCAGGACGGTGGTAGATCCTGGTATTGGCTTGCTCTTCGCTACGCTTCTTGATGAAAACGTCGGACTTCTTCTTAGCTTGAGAGATCCTGCCACAAAGCTCGGCTGTTATGGCATCAAATCCAGAAAAGCACCGCAAAAAATCCATACGGTATTATGGACTGGATGAAATCAGGATAAAATCTTTCAAATGAATCCCTAATAATGAAAATCAATGACGGCAATGCGTGTCTTCCGAAAGACTACCTATATTTTCTATTTCTATTTTTAGAATCAAAAATCAACAAACAAAACGACGTTAGTGGATGAACACAAGAATTACAAGTAGAAACAAAAAAGAAACTAACATTATATCAATAATAATGAATATATAAGCTTTATACAAATGCAGTAATAAAACACTTTAAGTAAGTCATAAATGGCTCACACTGTTGTCCTAACGCTATCAACGAGAACGTCGGTGAGAGTGGAAGTGCAATCACATCGTACGCTGTTGTTGATTACTCATACGCCAATGAACTGTGCGATGAAGCAAATGAACCGTTTTAGCCAAAACAAAGAGGCTTTATTTTAAAAAAGCGAATGAATAAACAACTAAAACAGAAACAGGTGATTGCTGATGGCATTGTTAAGGCAAAAAAACTGGCCGAGAGAATAGCAAAGTAAGGCCTCAGTTGTGAAGTGGGTTACACGTGAACGCCATCGAAGTGTAGTCGCGGGTTTGAATCTGGTCTTGGGTCCAAATTTTGCAAATATCTCATCATCACTACGGTGATATTTCACATCACACTCCGTCGTGAAGAACTAATAGGTAGCAAATAAGAAGTTAAGGATTTTAAAGAGGAAAACCATCAAGTATTTAAATAAAGTGCAACAGAGTGAATATCCTATGAAAGAAAAAGTTACGATAGAGAGACCGATGAAGCCAAACAGCTGATATGAAACCAATTCCTGTACTATGTTAGACCCTACACACAATTATAGGAGCTCATAGTACATATAGGAAATATGAGTAATAGATGAAAGGCACATAGTTCAGCTAAGTGGTAGATCTTTTCACACCTTAGGTTATAAACAAGGGCAGGATACTTCCAGTAAAAAATCCAAAACCTTCAAAACAACATGTCTTGCCACCTCTATTACTTGATGTGTCACATTTCGCAATGCTTTCAACGATTTAGATCTCGTGTATTGACACACAATACATTTGCTTTTCTTCCATGACAATTCCCTTTAACGATCACGTCAACGACGACGACAACTATCATACAATACGACAGATGGACGGACGGACGGTTCCACTCTAGTGGTGCTGTGGACAAAGAACGATGTCGACCTGTTCGATCATGAGAAAAAGGAATCATTCCATCATCATAATCATCATCATCAACAGCATCTACAATCGCCTCAATCAACATCATAATATGATCTGGTCTTTAAGGAAGACACAACAATATGCCACATATTCGAACACGAACGAAACAATTTCGTTGTTGATAACAAAACCCACAGATGATCGACGTTCGATCTACACATCGATACCGTATACTAGAGCGAGCATCTGTGAAGTGTTCTATCACCATTTTCATTAACACATAGAAAAACGGAGAAACTACATGCATCGTGATAGCATCCAACCTTTTCTGAAACACAGATAAGCTCGATCGTTCTTACGCCTTCTACGATATTACACGGATGAAATGAGATCTAAGTTCATCTACAAACGCTAAAAACTATCTACCGTATTGACAATATGGTACATTTTAAAGAAAAAATTGATCATCATTGATCATCATTCCTCTACTACTCGAAATAATGTATAGGTAAGACTTAACTGGGGATATGATGGACGAACTGCAATCAGATTAGTATTAATGCTTGAAATATTACCCTTTCGCACTCAATAACAGGTGTTGATCTGGAAAAAATACGACGAAACACTAACCAACAACTGATCAGTAGCGACCGATTGATGGAATTTCAACACCGAATGAAATCGAATGTATCGAATAGTCTACGAGCAACTTTATCCTAGGAATCGGCTCGAAATGAGTAATCGAGAATGGACATCCACGATATTCATAATTTTTTCCTTAAAAACGAACGGGATTCTCAAATTCATAAGTCTCTTGGAAAAAGTACATCTCTGAAGAATAAGAGGGAGATAGGAAGACAGACAGACAGACAGATACGGAAAAACAGCGAAAGTGAGACAAGAAAACAGAGGAGAAAGTGAAAGAGCAGTAGGAAAAACGCAGAATACCGCTTCTTTTGAGTACGACGACACTCTACACAATACCAAAAATCATCGACAATCTGCTTACACGACGGCTAACGAGCAGATTACTGACTCGTATAGTTCCTTGTCACTCTAAAGATATTAGAGTTTTCAAATCGAACGCTTAGTGAAACGAACATCTGCTACAATTTCAAAAAAATCAGCATCAAGGATATGGTGGTCCCCTTGCTCAATAGCACGGATAATCTACTTTAATAAAAATGTGGGGAAAAACGAGAAACTATGTGAACTGTTTTAGGATGGAATCTCTATGAGTGTTGTCCCTTGAAAGCTTACAAAAGTAAAGATTTACGAAAATCTCTTGAGAGTAGATGAGAGTGAAAGTTGTAGGCCGCAAAAAAAAGAAGGAAACTCACAGGGGAACGTAGGAATAATCGTTGTCATGCAAGAAAACGTTCAGTCATGTGAAGAGATCAGCTTGTTAACAGTGAAGCTAAGGATAAGGTGAAGTAATCTACTCAGCGTTTTCAGAAGACTTTGTTGATGAATCGAATTAATGTGGCCAAATAATTCTTATTCCTATAACATATAAGCAATTTTTCCTAATTTTGACCACAATGTAGATTCGGGAAGACAAGGTGATTGTCTAAACTTAGAATGAGAAATCCAATAGGGTAGTTACCAAATCAGAGCAGCGCATCGCACACTGATTAAATGAATTTTTGAAGCATGGATGGTAAAAGTTTCCAGATAACGACAAATTGTCAAGGAACAGGTTTATTTGAAAAGAAAAACGATAACAGGGTAGGAACTGTGGTCAACGTAACGTACCGGATTGAGAGTAAAGCAGAAGACTGAGTTGTTCTGCTGGTGGTAAGCGTCGAGCCCATTCACAGATAGCAGCTGTTCGATATCTCTCTTGTATATGTAGTTCATATTTTTCTGTAGTTGGATGACCGTGAACAATTGGCCTCATACCGACATTGCGACTTCCATATGGGCAATGTCGATTCGGTCGGAGTTTACGCAACTTTTCTCGAACATCAATGGCAGTCACTGCTGATGGTCGTGTGCTTATATGCGGATTTCGACATGATCGTAATACTCTCAGTCGTTTACCGATATCTTGAGATGAATTTGCAGGTTCTTCAGACATCTCTTTTACCTATGGAAGAGACGTCAATAAGCTCTTAGGCCGTTCGAAGGAGCAATCAGCTAGAAATAAGCAGCAACTCTTGCAAATAAACAGACAACAGCCCGCGTCAGACAAGGCCGATAAGAAGCTGTTGCTCAGCCGAGTTCTTCGAAGATATGAGTACAGGAAAAAATCTTCGTCGTAAAAGAGGAAATTTGTACTAGAAAAAGTCGAACATGGGATTCCGATGATGCGAACGCAATGTGAAATTTTTCGTAGGGCCTAGACGAATTTGCAACTGGAAGTGAGCGCCTTGGCCACGCCTTTCCTCCGCGTCCTGGAACGACGAGAGGTTGGAGAGGAGAGGGGAGATGAATCCGATCAAGGAATCCGGACTATCGTGAACTCAGGCATCTTCTACTGCTCAGTGTTTATAAACAGATGGGTTAATCAACCGAGCGCTAAACTACCACCGTCTGTGCTTGATACCGTGACCACGAACACTATCAGTCGTTCATGGCACGAACCACTTTACCACAAGTAGAGGTGTAAACATAAACAGCCACCAAAATTTCGAAAACATACGCAACGAATTATACCAAGTGATATCCTATACCAATGGGATGGTGTCTCTAAAGAAATGTGACAGGGTCAATTTACTCAGATCACGTGTGAACGCGTCAGGGAAGATGTTCTACGCGATGAAGCGCGCTCTTTCAACAAAAACTTCGGTGTCATTCAAGCTTTAATGAAACAACTTACAACAGGACTTTAAGGCTGCACTTTACCTAGCGCTTTAATGGCGTTGAACGATTTCTGCATATTTGATCCGAGCTTTTAAAAATTGACACCAATTGCGTGTCTTCCGATGAGTGATGACATTGCTCTCTCTCCCTCGCTCTCTCTCTCTCTCTCTCTCTCTCTCTCTCTCTCTCTCTCTCTGAGAATTTGCCGAAAATACTCCACTAATCTATCAACAAATGTCACTTGTGTAGTTTAGAAAAGAGCGAGGAGCCGCCGCATGAGTGAAAACACTTAGAATTCACGCTAGAAGAAACAGCATAGCCCCTAGAAAAAATGGAGAACCAAGGCATCGGTTTTTTCTACGAAGAAAATCCCAAAACCATTAGTCATTCTCAAAAGCAGAAACAGAACTTATTCAGCGTAGTCCTAAATGGTACCCATATTCACTGATTCATTCGTGAACGGTAATTTAGCCAGTTTGAAAAAAACAAATGTGATAGGAAGTGATTAGCGAAAAAGAAAGCCAAACACGTGAACGTAGAATGAACGGCTTTTGTTTTCATAAGACGTAGTTGAAGCGTTTAATGATCGATTCTGAACGATTACATAAATCCAATACGAGATTGTTTCTACGGCATATAATTGTAAAGTGCTGCATACTATATCACTAGCCTCTCTGAACCTTTCTGTACTTGCATAAAGTACTTCACACCATATTAGTAGCTTCTCTGAACCCTTCTGTATTTCTATAAAGTACTGCACACTATATAACTAGCCTCTCTCTCTGAACCTTCTTGTACTTTTAATGCATTTGATTAAAACAAATGAATAAGACACAGTTCGAAAACAGCGACCTATTAAACAATGCCTAGGCTAATGGAATGTGGGCCTTCGGAATTACACATGATAACGTAATATTTTCATCATGAATGACATACTTCAGTACGACTCGTTTCAAATTCACTCTAGTGCACCTTTTTTTACGTTCCGATTCGGGATTTAAAAGTGAAACCGTATCATTACGGTAGTTTTCCTGAGATCGTGCCGGCATCAAGTTGCCGGCTGGTTCAATATTGGCCTGACCCAGATACGAACGAATTCACTCGGCGACGTATCCGTTTTCATGGGTTTCTCACAAAGAGTATCACAAACTCACAAAATAATCGCATATCGGATGAAAACGAATGACGTCGATGCTTGACGATGAAATAGTGAACAATCGAATAGATCCGATACCGTCGTCATCGACAGAATTCCATCCTCTGTCACTCTGACGTCATCAACACAACAACACCGTTCTTTTTGCGTCATCGTTTACGTTCAAGGACGTCTAAAAATGCCCACTTCTGGAAGGTTTCTAAAGCGATTCTTCGACTACTTCAAAATTCACGACAACTAAAGCTCGAATCTTATACTCCCATTAGATACGAAATGTTCCAAACATTTCTATCAGATGTTTACAAAGCTCCAGTGCGAATTCGAAACCTCACAGATATAGACGCGTGGCAATAAGGTCTTCACAAACACGATTTCATGGTTGAGAAAAAGCAAAACGTAGATGTAGCCGCTTCGACGATGATCACTGAATGACTCATACTTTACGTTCAACTCAAATTCTCGAATCTTCCGCGAAGTTTCGGTGAAAACGTGTGTCTCTATGGATTCCGAACACTGTGATTGTAAAGATCCGATTTCGTCCTGTTCGACAGTTACCAATTTCGTCCGATTAGTGCACCATCGATGCGAAAAAACCTTTCGTAAACTGCAATTGATTGTATGGGTGTAATCGCTCGGAACGAAATTAAAAGGAGATGGGAAAACTGCTGATAATGAGGACGCCCACCATTTTTCTTCCCATGTATGTATATATATATATATATATATATATATATATATATACATATATATGAATGTACATGTATATATACATATTCGTATATGTACACACATATACATACATATATGTTCCAATCGTTTCCGTTTATAGCTTTGTTTTGTGGACAACATAAAAGTTTGAAAAGGAAGTCCATGAAAGTTTTTCTTTCAATTTCCCTTGGTTTAAAAGTCAAAAAAAAAATTCGAGCATTTACTGAATCATTTCCATAATTACGATGTTTATTGACTGTATGAGTGCATTATTTCTGAACGTTGTTGCTCATTTTGAGTGGTTGATCTAGTCCCACATTGATTCTATGGGTATCGATTGATAGGACGATGAAGTCGTTTGTGGCGTGGCGCCGGTTTCTACGCGCTTCTCTAGCTCTCGTCGCGCTGCGCATCTCCGGCTCGGCAACTGGTTCGTGGTGACCAACCTGCCACGATTTCCATCATATCGTCGTCTCTACTACCATCTTCTCTTTCGCATTCGGGAAATAACCACAACATAAAGAGTTATTGCCTCATTCAGATTAGAAACCGCACATCTCGTCGATGGGATAAGACGACTGTGGTAAAGAGTATGTAGAAAGCGTTGGAGTCAAAAAAAAGTAGAAAAATGAGTTTCTTAGGAATAAAAATGACATTTTTGGAAAAATTCGTTTTTAAATTTTAAATGACCCGTCAACAACTACTGTGCAGACCGCAGCACTCCTTGCATTCGATCCTTTTTCCTCGCACTCATAGTCTACAATGGTCTTCGAACATTTCGCGTGTTGTTTCAGTTGCTGCTTGAGGATTTCGTCTTCTTTATGAGTGTCATATAATGCCGGTTTAGTCGATTCTCCTTGCAACTCCGGGGATAGCCCAGCTAGGGAGTTCACAATGTGGAACGGAGGAGAACGCTGGAAAGGGACTCGAACCACCACCTCGCTTTCTGATGAACTGCGTCATTAACCACTGCGCTTTCCGCATCCACCCTTTTAAGAAGAAAGAAAAAATCAAATGTAAGCGTCATAATGCATTCCAGATAATTCTTAAGACCATGGAATCTCCTAAGATCTCTTATTATTTATTACGCACAGAATCTTAGTTGTACTCATTTTACTTAGTTAAATTTCTTAGTCACTTCGAAATTGGAGAAAATTCCGAAGTATATGAGTATATGAAAGGGGCGCCTGTAAGGCAGTGGTCGGAGGCGACCTGAAATACACATAGGATCGATTCCTGCGCACCTGGCCCACTAAGCTTTCTATCCTTCGAGGGTGGGCATATTGGTACCAGACCTGTCTGGATGAATAGCAGCACTGTCTCGACACATTTGTAGGCCACTGCGAGTCATTGTAATGGCCAGATATGTATTCAATCACCTCCAGCGATTGTTAATGAAATCGAATGCATGGCCCATTCCACAGGAATTGATCAATGCCGAGAGCTTTATTTTTCGCCCATACATTAGTAAAAATGAGCTGTTTAAAATTCGTAGAATAACATTAGAAGAACAATTTTCCCACAAAACAAATGTATCGAATGTAAAGAATATATTTTTGCTGATTCGTTTGTCCTAAAGGTAGATCTACACTCAAGTGAACCAAGTGAACCGATAGGTTCAAAGAAATTCGGATCAAACTGAAAATTCCAATTCACTTCCAATGAAAGAAGAGCAAATCTGATTCTCAGCCTGTCTGCAGCATATTTCCATGAAAAATGGAAAACAAAATGGATGCGTATGACAGAGAGGGGTTAAGTAAAAGGTTTTGCATCTGTGAGTGAAAATCGACAACCTAAGATGAAAAACTGAAACAGTCTAAGAACTAATGAAAATACAGTTCATTAATATCGTAGAGCACCAGATAAAACAACTGCGTAAACCACATCCTGAAATAGACAGCGAAGTAGGACGATCAAACGACCATGGACCTCACCGCATCCATCTGTGGCCATCCACCACAGAGAATGAGCTTATTTAGTTGAAGACGAATAAGAAGTGATAGAATGATAAACATGATGGAGATGTGTAACTTGAGAACAATCTAATTCTCAGCCTGATTGAAAATCTATGAAAAAGGAAGATAGGAATAAGGAATAAAGTGCACGAGACGATCGAGAGATGAGCATGGAAGGAAAGGAACCCGACACGATAGCTGAGATAAATAAGAACAAAGATGCCGCGTTTTTTAAAATTTGGGATTAAAAGTACTACAAAATAACACGATTTAAAAAATATTCTGACACATCAGCACTTTTCACATAGTCGATCAAGGGAGATTAACATCCTGTCAGTGTCAGTTTGCCCATACGAATTTGTTACTAAGAACTTCCCTAGTAAATTGGCAATTAAAATGACTAAATATAGAAACAATACATAAGTTCACTTTACTACTACCTAGCTGCGATTGCTA